GTGTGTGTGTGTGTGTGTGTGTGTGTGTGTGTGTTCACATGTGTGCAGGGCCAGAAGCCATCAGATTGCCTAGAGCTGGACTTACGGGTATCTGATATGGTGTTTGGAACTGGACTTGGGTCCTCTGATAGCAGACCTGACCGTGAGTAAGTCACCTGCTTTCCTCCTGCAGCTATGACATCGCCCTGCTGCGCTTGGCCCAGAGTGTTACACTCAATAGCTATATCCAGCTGGGTGTTCTGCCCCAGGAGGGAACCACCCTGGCTAACAACACCCCCTGCTACATCACAGGGTGGGGGAGAACCAAAAGTAAGTCATACACACTCCCAGCATACACCAATGAGATTTTGATGAAAAGGCTGAGCTTCTAGGACACCTCTTTCTGTGGTCCTAGACATTTATAGGCAGAGACCAATGACCTAGGGAACCACAGATCAAATCATTGATACAGTTGAGTCAGAGGTTCATGGACTCCTATAACTGAAGAAAGAAAAAAAAAAACTTACCAGAGAAATTATTTTTGTGCTGGCCCTTATTTTATACATTAGGGCACTGGGCACAAAAGAAATTAAAGAACTCAACCATGTGACTGGTTGCAGGCACCCCCAGCCCTCACTTTGGTGGTCACGGCGCCTGCACAGACAGGTACCCAGCTAAACTGAAGCAAAAAGACCTGGGTGGCTGCAGATCCATTCACAGAGCAGAGGTCTCTGCTCACCTCTCCTCACCATGGGATGGTTTCAGCCGAGAATGTCACCCAAATGACACGGAAACTTGGGAGGGCTATGAACAGAGATGATTAGGAATGTGGAAACATTAAGGACAACCTAGAACCTGGCAGCCACAAGGCAAGATTCGGGCTCCTGGAGAAGAGTTAGGCCTTACTTGAGTCTATTCCAGCTCTCAATTCCTGTAATAGCCCTGTGGTTCTGCAACAGAAAAGGATTCAGAGGACCTACAAAAATGACATCAGATGCAAAGGTTTTCAAGACTCAAAAGAGCCAGATAAAGGAAAGCTGTACCAAGCTCTTTTTTAAACTGATTCCCTTCTATTGTTTTTAACTGTGTGTACATGTGTGTGTCTGTGCACGTGTGAGGTGCAGGGCCTGCAGAGTTCAGAAGAGGGTGTTTGCCCAGATGGGTGCTGGGAACTGAACTCAGGTACTCTGCAAGAGCAGTAAGGGCTCTTAACCACAGAGTCATCTCTCCAACCTCTGAACTCAACTCTTATGAAGTGGAAATAAATGGCCTGTGGCACAGATCACTGGTCCCAGGGCGCAGAAGCAGGTGAATCTCTATGAGTTCAAGGCCAGTCTCTCTTACATAGTGAGTTCTAGGACAGCTATGGCTTCATAGCCAGACCCTATAGAAGGACGAAGAGGAAGAGGAGGAGGGAGGAGGAGAAAGAAGAGAGAACAGGCAATATGATACTGGCTACATGAGAGGCTGCAGCAGGGGCACCGGGAGTTTGAGGCCAGACTGGACATTATAATGAGGCCACATCCCAGAAAATGAAAGGAGGGAAAGGGTTAGAGGGGGCTGAGTGCCTACCATGCCTCTTCTGCTCTTCTGTTTTGTGGGACTCCTGTTGTGAGCAGCCAAACGGGCAGAATGTATGGAGACTAATCTATTGCTTAACAAAGTGATCCATGGGTAGGAACAAGCAAAAGCAGGCCTGGGATTCAGTGCCTGGGAACGGTGAGCCTGTGGCTGCCATTTGCAGAGGAGAGAGGGGACTCATGACCTGCCACAAACAGAGAGGTGCCGGTTACCTGATCTTGGGAGGAAGACTTGCTGAGACGTGGACAGGTTCTTCCCTGTGCTGACTTCCAATGTGACTTCCCTGCAGCCAACGGGCAGCTGTCTCAGACCCTGCAGCAGGCCTACCTGCCCAGCGTGGACTACTCCATCTGCTCCAGTGCCTCTTACTGGGGCTCCACAGTGAAGAGGACCATGGTGTGTGCTGGTGGAGATGGGATTCGCTCAGGATGCCAGGTGAGTACACGCAGGTGTGAGCCCCTTCAGACTCTCCGCCTTTTGCTCACCTTCAGTCCCTCGCCTGCTCTTGCACCCATGGACAGACTCAGCCTTCTACTCTATCATGGAATCTCAAAGTGGTGAGGAATATGAAAACGCCTTGCTCAAAACGCTACCTCCAAAGCTGCTCTGTGGGCTAACACCCTTATGTATGTGCATAGCCTTTAGGAGTTGCTTGTGACCTAAATTCTTTAACGGTGGCTGTGGGGCTGGGCCTGCAGGGATGGTGGTGTTGACTGTGTGAAAGGCTGCTCCCAATCCCTTTTCTTGTACTTCCCCACTGTTGCCCTTTCCTCTGGTGTTCGCAGGAGTCAGTGCGGTGGGCACAGCAGAGGAGCCTGCACTGTTTTATAGTCTCTCTCTACTTAGATAAGATCAAACCACAATAAACCATACCACAATTGCTCAATGCAGTGCAACCTGAGGACATTCTCATGTTTCTCTGGTGCTAGGAACTGTGCTGGGTGCTAGGAATACAGAGAGAATTAAACAAGGACAAGTGAAGGAACCAAGAGCAGTGTGGCATCATAACTGTGGAACCAAATGTGATGCTGTAAGGCTGTGGCTAAGACATTGTGGTGTAGACAGGCAAAGTGACTCCAGATAGTCACTACCTCTGTCTGCTAGAGTCAGAAAAGACCTACCTTCCCTGAGACAGTGTAATCTGCACGGAATCTTGAAGGTTAAGTATAAGTAAATGAGGTGAAGAAGAGGGGAAGTCACTCAGAGGGTGACATGGATGAAGGTATCGGGCTTACAGACGCCAGAACTATTGGTCTTTCCCTTCGGCTAGAATAGCTAGGATCAGGGGCTCCCAAGCCATATCCAGCCTGCTGATGAGTCATTGGCTATGGTTATAACCTTTGGAAATGGTTTTAAAAAATCCAAAGGTTAATCTTTCAGCTGTGAGCACAGTGGCACGAACATAAA